CCTTTGTAATTTGAGGCAGGGTGCTTAAAACATCTCCACGCTGGGCTTACCCAACCAAAAACTGGAAGTGGTGCCTCTTTCCATCCAACGTTGGGTTGGGGTTGGGGCTGGGAGCGATGTTGTGCTGCAGTTGGGAGGGATGGATGGAAATACTCCACCCCTCACTAGCCTGGAGGACTTTCCTTTTGTATTTCACCTAAATCTTCTCTGCTGCAAATGAAGAGGTGGTGGAGGGGTGCCTGGCCCAGAGCAGTGTGGTAGGTCCCAGCCGATGGGGTGGGCTGGGCCGTGGCTGTCCCCAACCCCGGCTCCGTCTCCTGCAGCCAAGAGCCGCTCCATCGCGCTGCCCATGGACCTGGACGCCCACGTCAGCTCCCTGCTCAACAGCAGCTCCACCAGCACCGTGCAGAGGAACACGTCCAGCTACAAGACGGCCACACGGACCTTCCCCCGCGTCTCCACCACCCCCAACCAGTGGGACTACAAGAACATCATAGAGAAGCTGCAGGTATGGGGCAGGGATGGCATGGATCAGGGCATGACATCAAGAAGGTGCTGGCATTGCAGGGGTCCCTCTCCCGTGCTCGTGTCTCCTAGGCATGCATTGGCCCTAAAGGTGTGTGCTGTGACTTGTAGGACATCATCACCGCCCTGGAGGATCGCTTGAAACCGCTGGTGGAGGCTGAGCTCTCTGTCCTGGTCGATGTCCTCCACCGGCCAGAGCTGCTCTTCATGGAGGGGACGGAGGCGTTCCAGCGGTGCGAGAGCGGAGGTTTCCTGTCCAAGTGAGGATGCTTTGCGGTCGCCATGGGATTGCTGGGGGCACTGGGAAGGGCTGGGGACCTTCAGCCTTTGTGGGTTGTGCATCCTGGTGTGCACCTGCAGAGTGGAGGGGCGGTGGGGCTGTTCCCTTGGGGACCCCCTTGTCCCTCTCGGCTGCGTGACGGTGGCTCTGCCGTGCCAGGCTGGTGCAGCACACCAAGGACCTCATGGAGACGGAGGAGAAGCTGTGCATCAAGGTGCTGAGGACACTGCAGCAGATGCTGGTGAAGAGGAACAGATACGGCGAGAGGGTGAGCACCATGGTCCTGCAGCACATCCCCAGCCCTACTCCTTGTCCCTGCAGCCCATGTCACCCAGGCTGGCAGTGCCCTCCCCGTGGCAGCCCAGGAGTGCTCAGCCTTGTTCCACTTCAGCGCTGGCCTTGGCACTGGGAGACTCGTGACGTTTGTTTGTCTTGGCAGGGCAACCTGCTGCGGAAAATGCTCCTGAACAATTACCTGCAGAACAAGAAGTCCAGCTCCAAAGGGGAAATGGTGGATGCTGCTGGGGGAGGTGAGTGCCCTTCTTCTGCACCTTCCCTGTCCCTCTGTGCTGCTCACACACACCTAGACTTCCCGGCTCCTTGAGCCATGATGGGATCAGGTCTGGCCACCATTCCCTCTCTTCCATGAGAGTAAAGGACTTGGGAAGATGAAGGGGTGGGACTGAAATGCCCCTGGCAGTGATTGAGCTGTGCTTATTCTGCACTACCACAGCATCACATCCCTCTGTGTCTTCTCATGCAGGCCAAGACCAGGACTGGTCTGCTATCGCTGCTGTCCAGTGCCGGCTGGATCGAGAAGGGGCCACCAAGCTGGTGGCTGACCTCATCATGAACACCAAGAACGAGAAGATCTTCCAAGAGAGCATCCTGCTGGCCATCCGGCTGTTGGATGGAGGCAACACTGAGATCCAGGTGCTGAGTCCCGGCTGTGTGGTGGGCACCAGCCCTGGGGGAACTGGGCACCCACCGTTTGATGGGTGCAGCATAATGCTCCCAGCACTTGGAAGACGTGGGTGAATGGCAGTCCTCTGTCCTGGCCCCTGGGCTTGGTTAAAATACTGTTTGGTTGTTTATCTTTGCTGGCCAGAGGAGGAATTGCAGAAATCTGTCTGGTTTGGGGTTTTCCAGCTGGGTGGCTGGATGGAGCTGGAGGGTGGGTGCTGGAAGGGGCAGGTTGGTGTCTCTGCAGTAAAGCTGATGCCCTCTGCCGGGTGCTGCTCAAACGGCTCGGGCTGCAGCTCTTGGGTGATAACTCATGGGTTATCTCGAATCCTTTATCACAGGGAAGCCAATACATTAATTGTACATGCAAAACATGTACATATAGGGCAGGGCTCCAGGCCTGGAGCTGTTGTAATCGCTGTTTGCTCTGTCCCTAACCCTGATTTTAGGGTAAAAAAGGGCACAGGAGCAGGGGACGATCCACCCCTGTAAATCCAAAAGGGCTGTGACATCCAGGGTTGTACCATGGAAATAAACCAGGTTGTCATAGACAAGGTCTTGAGTGCTCGAGGCCACCAAATCAAAGGGGCAGGCAGTTTGGAGCCCATGATGGAGACTTGTCCCTCCCTCCTCCCAGAAATCCTTTTACAACCTCATGACGAGCGACAAGAAGTCCGAGAAGTTCTTCAAAGTTTTGCACGACAGGATGAAGAAGGCACAGCAGGAGACCAAGTCCACGGTGTCTGTGAACATGAGTGACATCGGGAACAAACCTCGTGAGGACAAGGACGAGCCTGACCCTGGCACCAAAGGTATGGAGCTGTGTCCCCTTGGTAGAGCCAACGTCTCGTGTGATAACCCGATGCTAACGAGGTTGGATTGCCCTCTAGGACGAGGAGACACCTTCCTGATGCCTGGCACCCCCTCCCGATGCCCGATGGCCATAGGGTTTCGGAAGGGCCATGACACGGGGGAGCAGGGTCAGAACAATGAGATGGGGGTGACGGTCCTGATCATGGAGCCCATCCTGAGATTCCTGCAACTGCTCTGTGAGAACCACAACCGGGACCTGCAGGTGGGTCACAGGGGCTGCTCGGGATGGGGGCCAGGGCAGAGGCTGTCGGATGGGGGTGTGGGAAGCCTGGGGTCTGCCTCGGTTTGGTCCAAAAAGCCATTGCACCAGCCGCTCCGTGCCTCAGTTTCCCCAACTTTGCTTAGTGTTGTGGAAGTTCACAGCACGACTGTGTCCATGGGACTGAGTGTTCCTCTTGGAGGTCCCTGCATTACAGCCCCATTCTCCATCGAACTGCAGCTGGGGGGGTGTGGGGAGGGGGATCAGGCCTGACCCCCCGTCAGAGTGACGCTGCTCAGCCCCGTAACTGCAGCCTTTGCTCCACAGAACTTCCTCCGGTGCCAGAACAACAAAACCAACTACAACCTGGTGTGTGAGACGCTGCAGTTCCTTGACATCATGTGCGGCAGCACCACGGGGGGGCTGGGGCTGCTGGGGCTCTACATCAACGAGTACAACGTGGCCCTCATCACCCAGACCCTGGAGACCCTCACCGAGTACTGCCAAGGGCCCTGCCACGAGAACCAGGTCTGTGGGGATCCCTGCAGGTCCAGGTCATTCCCAGTGGGGCTGGGGGGGTTTCACCACTGGGCAGGGACCCCCAAGGGAGGATTTGGGGGGAAATGTGTGGGGAAGCAGCAGAGACAGGGTCAGCTTTGCGGTTCAGGTTATGAACAGGAGCAGAACGTGGGAAGCAGAGGATGCCAAGGCGCTGCATGCGTTACAAGCTGCTGCTTGGCCAGATAATGTGGGGACATAAACGGGGTTAAAGAATAAAGTGGTGCAAATGGTGGCCTTTTCAGGGAGGTTGGGGCTCCTGGGGTAATCAGGCAGGGTCAGTGCTGTAGGCAGGGACCTGGGCTGTGTTGGATGGAGGGTGAAGCCAGGAGGACTGGCAAGCATCCATGGGATGATACATTGCATTGCTCCCCCCCAGAGCTGCATCGTGACCCACGAGTCCAATGGGATCGACATCATCACAGCCCTCATCCTCAACGACATCAGCCCCCTCTGCAAGTACCGGATGGACCTGGTCCTGCAGCTGAAGGTGGGCAGAGCCTAGGGCTGGGATGGGGGGCACGTGTGTGGGCTTATGGCATGTCCATGGGGTGTGCTGTGGGGTGAGGTGGATGCTGTAGTGGGGACTGTGCATGTGTCAGGTCCTCGAGTGTGGGAGCACCTGGGCTTGGTGGGATGGGGCTGGTGCATCTCCACTGTGTGAGGCTCAGATGCCTCCAGCACGAGGGAGTTACAGCTGACGGTGGTAAAGGGGAAGTTCTGCCCACTCTGAAGGCCCAGGCAGAGGCAGGGCACAGCTCCCCTCAGCAAGGGCTTCTCCTCGCCAGGACAATGCCTCCAAGCTCCTCTTGGCCCTCATGGAGAGCAGACACGACAGTGAAAACGCCGAGCGGATCCTCATCAGCCTCCGCCCACAGGAACTGGTAAGGGCTGACAGTGAGACACCCCCACTGAGCCCCTCAGCTTCTCCCCTGGACCATTGCTCTTCTGCCTGTGGGTCCTGATGCAGTTTCTGGTTTGCAATCCAATAACCACCTCATCTTCCACACCGCTGGTCACCACCTCTGCGCAGGCATCCTTGCCCAATGGTCCTCCCAGAGCCATTTGTGGCCAGAGGAGGAAAAGGAAACAAGGAGATGGGGTGAAGCTCACTGTCCCTCTGCTGCCTTCCAGGTGGATGTGATTAAGAAGGCCTATCTGCAGGAGGAGGAGTGTGAAAACGCTGAGGTTTCCCCCCGGGAAGTTGGCCACAACATCTATATCCTGGCGCTGCAGGTACTGAGCTGTGACAGCAAGGGTCCCTGCCAGGCTGGGCTCCCCATGCTGGGCTGGGCATGTTTTCTCTGTATTTATTTACATTTTCTCCAGCCAGGCTGGTCTCCCTGGGGGCAGCTTGGCTGGGAAATGTGCTTTTGGCTCCTGTGAAAAGCCACCCCCCGGGGTGTGCTGCCCCGTTCCCCTGGGCACCCCATGTCCCCTCCCCTGGGCACTGGTGGCTTCTCACCTGGGCTCACCCGGCCATCGCTGTCCCTCTTCCAGCTCTCCCGACACAACAAGTCTCTGCAGCAGCTCCTGAAGCCGGTGAAGCGAATCCAGGAGGAGGAGGAGGAGGGCATCTCATCCATGGTATGGAGGGACCTCAGGAATGGAGGCAGAGCCCCTTCAAGCCACCCTGACCCTGTCTGGAGACTCCAAAGAGTCTCCCACCCTTTCTGAGCCACCCAGGGGTTTGTTGTTTAAAATTTGATGAGTTTTGGTATTCCCCAGGGAGACTAAAGAACGAAAGGCTTATAGTGCCTTTGTAGCTCAAACTACCAGCCCAAAGGCATGTGCACCTTCTCTAACCAAGCTGTGGGGAGCTGTATTTGTGGGGCTCCCCAAGGAAGGCTCAGCCGTAGGGTGACATCCAGCTCACTGCAGGGACGGGCTGGTGGCCCTGAGGGAGGGAGGACATTCTCCCCTTCCCTTCAGCAAAGGAAGGGCTGAGTCCTTTGCTGTCATTTCTTGCCCACGTACCTGAGATCCCAAACAAGACTCAGCAGTAATGTGATTTCCCTGGGGTTTTATGGGCATTGATTTGTAATTTGTGGATTAGCAGCATTTGGATGTAATTATTGCAGGGAATTGAATGTCTGTCACCTCGGGGAGGGCTCAAACCCCTTTAGGAAGCTTGAATTCATTTGCTTTTCCCTGAAACCTCATCAGCTTCAGTAGATTTTGAGGCTGTTGTCAGTGCAGAGTTAGACCTGGCTGAGGCCGCTCTCGTCCCCTCTCCCAGCTCAGCCTCAACAACAAGCAGCTCACGCAGATGCTGAAGTCAACGGCCCCAGTCCAGGAAGAAGAGGAGGACCCGCTGGCCTATTACGAAAAACACACATCCCAAATTGAGGCAAGACCTGTTTGGCTGTTGGGTTTCCAGTGGACACGTGGCTGGTGAATCCCTCGTGTGCTCCGGTTGCCTCGTGCCCGGTTCTTTTGCATCAGGAGCCGTCCCATCCTTGCGCCGGCAAGAAGCAGAGGGGCCTTTTGCTCTGCAGAGAGCTGGGGGTGTTTGCAGAGCCCGTGGGGATCAGGGGGAACGAGCTGCCCCCCAGACCCATCCTTTCCCTCCCCGCAGCAGCAGGGAGGCAGCCCTTTCAGCAGCCTCATCCCTTCCAAGGGTTCATGCACTCACAGCTTTCCTGCAGCACAGCCAGGGCTGCCTCTGCTGGGTCCATTTGTAGCGTTATAGACGAGTGACCGGTGGTGTTTGGATCCTGGTGGGGTGGGAGGGAGGAGGGGAAGGCACAGTTGGGTCTAGGAAAGAGGAAACCAAAGGCTGGCAAGGGTGGGATCTGACGGCCCCTTCCCCTTGGCCCTGCTTCCTGCAGATTGTGCGCCTGGACCGGAGCATGGAGCAGATAATCTTCCCGGTGCCTGGCATCTGCGAGTTCCTCACCAAGGAGACCAAGTACAGGCTCTTCACCACCACGGAGCAGGACGAGCAGGGCAGCAAAGTCAGTGATTTCTTCGACCAGTCGTCCTTCCTCCACAACGAGATGGAATGGCAGAAGAAACTGCGCAGTAAGAGCAAGCCAGACCTTCCCTTCGGGCTCCCCCCTGGCACTTCCAGTAGCCCCCCATTCCCCATGGGGGGCAGCCCTGCTTTGAAAGGGTTCCTGGCAGCAGCCTGGAGATCACATCTCTGAGCATCTTATGCCCCTTGCTCTGTGGAGCAGAGCACACTCGGCAGTTTGCAGGGAGTGGAGGTTACTCAAGATCCCAGGGATGTATTTCCTCCGTGCCTCTTAGTGCAGTTCCTCCATGGGCTGAAACGCGTCTTGTGGCACGTTCCCTGGGGTTACACCTGCAGGTGTTTTCCCCTGGAAAGCCCTCTCTTCATTTGCTTTCAGTTGCCTTCTCCTAAGCCAGGATCTAGCAGCTACATATGGGAAAGAAAACTTGTTTCTCTGGGCCCTGCTGACCTGCTTAGGTGCTCTCAGGGCTGCATCAGGAAGGAAATCCTGGCTTAAAATAACAAGGAGCTGAATAGAGAGTCACACTATAAATGCTGCGATGCAGCTAAGGGGCAGTGTAGCAGCTCTGAAAACACTTGCAGATCCAGTCAAAACTATCTTAGGAATTCGGCAGGAAACAAGTTTCCAGTATGGATGGGAAATTGCTGGCTGGGTCTCCTCTGGGACCAGAACCAGCGCTGAAAACACAAAGATACTGTTGTTTTGAAGGATGCGGGGCTGTAGGAGGTGGGAGATGGGGAGGAGGAGGACGGAGCCAATCTGATTCCAAGGTGCCAGAGCAGGTCAGACTAAAGAACGAAAGGCTTATAGTGCCTTTGTAGCTCAAACTACCAGCCCAAAGGCATGTGCACCTTCTCTAACCAAGCTGTGGGGAGCTGTATTTGTGGGGCTCCCCAAGGAAGGCTCAGCCGTAGGGTGACATCCAGCTCACTGCAGGGACGGGCTGGTGGCCCTGAGGGAGGGAGGACATTCTGTAGGGTGACGTCCAGCTCACCGCAGGGACAGGCTGGTGGCCCTGAGGGAGGGAGGACATTCTCCCCTTCCCTTCAGCAAAGGAAGGGCTGAGTCCTTTGCTGTCATTTCTTGCCCACGTACCTGAGATCCCAAACAAGACTCAGCAGTAATGTGATTTCCCTGGGGTTTTATGGGCATTGATTTGTAATTTGTGGATTAGCAGCATTTGGATGTAATTATTGCAGGGAATTGAATGTCTGTCACCTCGGGGAGGGCTCAAACCCCTTTAGGAAGCTTGAATTCATTTGCTTTTCCCTGAAACCTCATCAGCTTCAGTAGATTTTGAGGCTGTTGTCAGTGCAGAGTTAGACCTGGCTGAGGCCGCTCTCGTCCCCTCTCCCAGCTCAGCCTCAACAACAAGCAGCTCACGCAGATGCTGAAGTCAACGGCCCCAGTCCAGGAAGAAGAGGAGGACCCGCTGGCCTATTACGAAAAACACACATCCCAAATTGAGGCAAGACCTGTTTGGCTGTTGGGTTTCCAGTGGACACGTGGCCGGTGAATCCCTCGTGTCCTCCGGT